AAAAGATGCATATGAAAGCTGAATGTTTGGGGCATGTAGCAAGTATATATATATTATTGTGGTTTTAGCCGTTTGGCTGTAATTCGTGTTCAAAATTTTAAAAATGCTCGAAAAGGCAGTGTTTTTACATTTCATTGATTTACTCTAAAACTATAATACATAGAATGAATCCAAAAGATGCATGTGAAAGCTAAATGTTTGGGGAATCCAGCAAGTGTAGATACATTCCTGTGCTCTTATCCATATTGCTGTAATGCGCGTTCTTTTGTGAAAGGGGAGTCGCCAAATGATTACATACTTTTGAGGGAGGCGTTGTAATTTCAAGTTTGGAAACCACTGCGCTATGAATAAAAAACGTGTATATTGTGTTGCCTATTGTGTACAATTGAAATATAATAAAATTGCAAAACAGTCAAATTTAATTTGCGTTTTCTGCATGATATTAACTTTCGTACATATTGAACCAATTATTTCACTTGGTACACATGTGTTATCCATTTTTTTTTTCTATAGAAAGATAAATTATAATTAATAAAAATATACAAACATTTGTTTCATTCTATTTTAAATGCTGAATTAATTCATGTTGTTTTTTTTACTAAAATCTTACGTAACAAAGTAATAATGTTAAGTGGTGATGTGAGTTGTTTGTGTTCTAATAATTATATGATAAGCAGATGGAGCTGGAATCGTGGATGACATTTGAAAAAAAAATTGTAATAATTTGAATGCGTATATGAATTAGAGAAAGCTAAAATTCCGAATGGAACTGTTCGACTATGAAGTGGAGATTAAGCTGGACAAGAACAACATCCATCCGCGAGAGGACATTTCCGGTAACGTGAAAATCAAAGTGCAAACGGCCCTATTTTTGACTCACGCCTACATCGAAGTATGTAGCAAATGTCATTACAATATTAATTGAACAAAAAAAATGGGTATAAAGAGATGACTTTCAGATCACCGGAAGGGCCGTGTGCTGCTGGAAACAAAAGAAACACATATTCAGCAGCAGGAAGAGAAGTTTCACCGGTGAAGAGGAGTTCTTTTATTGCAGACACACTTTGGCCGGAAACGATGGAACAGAAGTTATCATGGAGAAGAGAAGTTACTATTATCCGTTCAAATGTAAACTGCCTGGACATCTGCCTGCAACGTGGCACGGTCAATATGGTTTAATCCAGTAATATCAATTGCCTTCATTGACGTGTAACTGAAGAATTTGTTCTTTCAGATACGTGGCACAGGTGGTTATCAAATCCGATGAGGAATGCATAGGGAAACACTCCAAGGAAATCACGATAATACCTTATCGCAATCTTAGATACGAACCGTACCTCTTGATCGAGGCTAAGAAGACGGTGAAAAGAACTTACCACTTCGGATTCTTGAAAATGGGTACGGTTACAGTAACCATTTGGTTACCGTTGTGCGGAATCTCGGCAGGACAGAATCTACCGTTGATCTGCACTATAGACAACAAGTCTTCGGTGCTGTTCGGTGGCATCGTCTTCATTTTAACTCAAATACAGATCTACCGGTCTTCGAAGCCTAAGTACACAGTAAAGACCATACGCACGGATATCTGCAGAGTAGCGAGGATGGCGGATATCCTCAAGGGCGTACAAGAGTATTACTGCGTGCTGAAAACGGATAGCGATATCTTCCCTACAACTCAGTACTGGAGATGCAGCACTTGTCAACTGGTTTACGAGGTCTGGGCTCAGCTGCAAGGCTCTTTGCCAACGAATAACGCTTACGGTTATCCGAACGTCGACGTTCCTGGTATTCCGATCATAGTCGGAACGGATCCTTTATGCAACTGGAACATCAACGAAATCAACGATCAGGTGATGAGGACTCTCTTGAGGGTCAGAGAACCGATAGTCATGGATCCTCCTCCGCCCGATGAAGTCGTTGAAGAGATTTTGAACACGGTGGACGACGAGTTTGACGTCGAGATGATGTCCAACTTGACCAAGCAAATCAACATAAACGAAAGCGGTGACAAACAGAAGCAATAAACACCATAAAAAAGTGTTCTCAAAAAATTGTAAATAAAATATTCTTTATTATGCATGTATAAGTATCAGATGAATTATTGATATGTTTGACTCAATCGGTAAAAATAGAAACTTTATGGAAACAACTGATGTAACATTGATTATTAAATTTCATTATAACTTATCAATGTATTAAAGATTCATATGCAATTTACAATTGCATTTAACTAAACGAAACCTCGTGTTTGCAAAGTCAATCTGGCTGCGTTGTTGATGTGGTTAACTGGGCGACGGTAACTGGGCGACAGTTACATAAAAAATATTTTAAACTGACTCATAATTATAAAAAACTATTTTATACTACTATTTTTGTACTATTATTATTTTATATAAAAATTGTATCAAAGTTTCTCATTAAAAAAAAAAATTAATAATATAAAATTATTTCAAATTTTTTTTTTCATGTGAGTTTTATTAATTTACACTTTTCTTTGTCAGTAATAATATTGTAATTGTTGCAAAAGATATTGTTATTCTTTATTAATATATCAATATCAATCAATGCGATATTCATTATTTGTTGCTAGTAACAATTTCCAAGAATACAATTTCAGATTTTTCAATAATCTCCTCCTCCTTAATTACAAAAATAATTATTAATTTGAATAAATATTAAGAAGAAATTTTTCAAATAATTTATTTAGTAATTATTTTATTCTCAGGTTTGCACGGAACACGTATTAACTTTTTGCGGAATATAGTTTGGGAAACTCAGAATTAGACCAATAAAGGATTTGGATCAAAATCTCGACAGCGTTAAAATCACGACAAGTAATAACGCTCATTTCTGAATTCATTTGTTTTACGTCAATATCAAATAATATAAAGGTACTGTCGAGATTTCCGTTGTCGGGATTAACTAGTGAACTTTTTAGGATTTTATTGCATAATCAGGTGTAGCCAAGGGATGCGCAACTTTTTATGTAACAAAAGTTACTTCACATTCGATACGTAACAAAGAAACGACGTTTTTTCGGTTCTCTTAAAATTGCATATATATATATAAATCTTTATTATATTGTTAATTTAAAATAAAATTTTGAATAGTTAATATTACATATAAATAATTTGTTTTTTCCTTGCACTCTTGGAAGAGTCAATATTTATCTCCATCATATATTTGAATACTTCCTAACCAGAGAGTCGTACCGAAAACCGTAAAACGAAATTAACCTGAATCT